TAGAGATCCTGGTGATTTTGGAGCAACAGCAATTTAGCTAAGAGGAATTACTAAGAGGCAGAAAATGAGCAAGCAAGATGATGGGGCAGGAGGAAGGTAAAAGAAAACAGAGGAAAAATCTAGGAAGAAAAGCTATGGAGAGAAGTATAAAATTGGTGTGTACATATGTAAATATATTAATCCATAAAAATAGAGGCATTGGATTATGTACATATATTTATATGGCAATACACTGAGGTAGTATTTGGACTTAGGGCCTCTGCTCAAGCCCGCCTTCAATGCAAGAACACTTTGTTCTAAACAACCTGGCATTCTGTGATGCTCACCCTCCCAGCACAACCACTGAAGTCAAAGTGGGTGCACAAGCAAATGTGAAGAAAGCTGATGGTGTCTGGATATCAAAAGATATAGTGTCTGAGGTCTTAAAGGCTTCAAGTTAAACAAGCAGCCATCTAGTAGAGAAGCAACAAGCCCACATGGAAGAAATACACCAGTCTGTGTGATCATGAAGTATTGATGGGATCAGGTAACAGGCATCAGAAGACTCAAAACAAACAAACAAACCAACCAAAAAAGTAGATGATGGGTAAGAATGAAGGAGGCTAGAGCAGAAACCCCAAACCCATCTGTAGATAATGGCACATCCCGTCACAGAAGGGTCACAAGGAGGGAATGAGTCAACCAGGGCGCAGTATAGCTAGATGAAACACAATATTCCTCTGGTTCCACCCCCCCACTATCATGAACCCAGTCCTGCCTTTCACTTAAGGCTAGAGCGGAGTATGTACATTGGTAGAGATAAGAGTTCACGACACAAGGAATCCAAGTCAGCTAAACCCCTCAGGAAAAGAAATACCTGGAGAGTAGAGGGAAGATGGGGAGCGAAGTGGAGTAAGGGGGAACCGATCACAATGATTAACACATAACCACACACACACACACACACACACACACACACCCTAGGGGAGGAACAACAGAACCTGGGGGAAGGGAGACAGCGGTTGGTGTAAGATATGAAAATAGTAATAGTTTATAATTTATGAAGGGATCACGAGGGTGTGAGGGAGGGACAAAAGAAGAACTGGTATCACAGGCTCAAATAGAAAGTAAAGGTTGGGAGAGGGGAGGGAGGGGAAAAAATGAGGACCTGATGCCGGGGGCTTAAGTGGAGAGCAGATGTTTTGAGAATGACGAGGGCAATGAATACAAATGTGCTTTACACAACTGATGTATGTATGGATTATGATAAGAGTCGTATGAGCCCCTAATAAAATGATTTAAAAAAAAGTAAATGTTTAAAAAATAATGATGGCAACATATGTACAAATATGCTTGATATCACTGATGTATGGATTGTTATAAGAGCTGTAAGGGCTCCCAATAAAATGATCTTTAAAAAAATTCCAAGCTGGCAAAACTTTTGAAGCACTATCTCTAAAACCAGTAAGTTAATGGTTTGAGTGTTGAAGAGCTTTTTAAATATCTTGAGTCAAGCCAAAGAATAATTGAGATGAATCATTTATCTAAGCCTAAAGTCTAATAGGTTAGTTCTACACTTAAGGAAACAAGGTAAAGAACAATATTTTCTCCTAGGGAGTCAGGCTTGCTTTGTAGTTCTTCGAGAGATCTCCAGATTAATCGCGCTAGCATCACCTGAGGCCCTGGTAGAAAGGAGATCGGGAGGCACCACCTTGACTTGTGACTCTCAAACAACTCAGACTCCTATTGACCCTATATGATAAAGCAGAACTGCCCTGCAGGCTTTCCAAGGCAGTGACCTTTATGGAAGCAGACGGCCACAGCGTTCCCGTGAGGAGTGGCTTGTAGGCTGGAAGTACTACACTTCTGGTTACCAGCTGAGCACTTAACTACTGCACCAACAGGGCTCCTGAGCATCACTTCTAACCCATAAGACCAGAAGCGCTGTGGATGAAGTCCAGAAAGTTGTTTTAACAAGTCCTCCAAGTGAATCTCAAATGCTAAGTGTGAGAACCCATGGGATAGTTCATCAGGGCAGGAAGGAAAAGAGATTTTGGAGGCAGAAATAGGACAGACAGAGAAAGAATACATTTCTCCAGAGAATTCTTTGAGGTCTTCCTTAAAAACCTGAGTATAGAAAATGGGTACAAAATTATAAACTCTAACAATAGCCATGTCTATGTAGCTATATAATCAGTGTAATCACACACTTACTCCTTACCTATCATCTATTTCAGTATCTGGTATTTTGCATTTATGACCATAGTAAAAAGTTTACTACAACTATTTTGCAGATCGACATTTTGGGGGCTGATTTTCAGAAATACATTTCCAGTGTGAGTCTGGAACCTGCTGAAATGTGCTCAGCATCATAGTAACATGCAAGCTTCCACTAACAGATGGGTGGTGGCTACACTTGAAGTGTGCTGGCTGGCAACTGAACCTGCGCTTTCCACACGGAAGGGGAAAGGGTGCTATCATGGTCCCATCATTGCTATCAGTACTATTTTACACACGCATACATACACATATGGCATGAGCAATGTACATACTATTGTATAATGCGCAGAACCACCAGGAAGCTTCAAAATGTTAGGAGAAAAATTTCACTGTTTTTAATTTCATGTCTACTCACATTGGTATGTTAATTTTTATCACACTGAAAAATATTTAATAGAAACAACATTTTGCTAAATAAACTGATTATTCCAATAACTCTATGAGGAAATCATACTAGGACTATTCCACCGGATAGATAAGAAAACTGAGGCTTAAACAAAGTAAGTGGTTTTCCTACGCTCACATGGCCAAAGAATGGCGGAAGTTCAAGCGCAAGAATTCTGTGTTTAAGAACTGGGATTCTAGCTGTAAGAGCCCTCCACAAAATAAAATTAAAATTAAAAGAAGAAGAAGAGCTTCTGTTCCGAGTGTTCACAGTTTAGCAGCATCAGCATCTGAGGGAGAGCAAGAAAAGAACCAAAGGAAACAGAAGAAAATGAAAGAGTAGTGTTGGCTTGTTTTTTAAGTAGGGCAGAAATAAATCTGCAATCTTATGCTAAAAACAAAACCAAACTGGGATTTTTAACTATGTTACGTAAGATAATACTGATCACCAATTATTTTAATAAAATCATAAAAAAGTTATAATGAGAATAAAATATGGAAAGCTACATCTAACTAAAATAGAGAAATCAGGAGACAAACTGATAAATTTAAATATTCTATCAAAGTCAAATAAAACTCCCCTAAATGTTCTTATGGACATCATCTGGCTTTTGAACTTAGTAAGTAGCCCAGATAGAACTTTTTCAGAGTCAGAGTAATGTCTTTGTTCTCCTTCCTATTTCTCATTGCTGAATCTCAGGAAAATATGACCTTATGAGACCAAATAAACCATCTATAAATGAAAATGTGTTTGGAGTCAATGTAATACAAACCAGGATAGACCTTTAGGCATAGTAAAAAGTAGGGCTAAAAGTACTAAAAGAACAAGTCTCATATAAATAAATTCTTAGAAATATACAAAAAGCCACTTTAAAAATAGTGATAATTACGAGAATATTTTTATAATGGACGAGCCTACACACCTTCTCCCTTTGTCATCTCAATGGTTAAAAGTATTGTTTGAAAATGTATTCCTGGTATTTGAAGATACACTTTGGTAGAAAAGTTCTAGCAGGAAATGCACTTGGCAACTAGCTCATTCAGCAGACAGGTAATCTATCTAATGTTAACAGACCGAGTAAACATGCATACATCCTTTCTTACTGTTCTAAAACGTCCTCTCTACCGAAAAACCCTGCATTTGTTTGAAGAGTTCCTATCCTGCTATGAAAAGGTTACAGAAATTATTAAAGTGATTACTGACTCCAATCTAGAAGGAATTTTATAACAGTGTGGGGATTATGTATTAGAAAATATCTAATAAAACTATTCTCAAAGTTTTCTGAAACTCTGCAATGAAAGGGAGACAAATCATTATTCAGAACTACACAGAGCACAGTTCTTCAAAGAATGCACACTGCTCTGTCCACATTTTGAAAATAGTACATTTTGAAAATAGTACACAGAATAACAAAGCTCACACCCAGCACAGGGCTTAATTTCAAATCTCATCTTATTTTTATTATAATTTTCAAACAACTTTTTTCCTTAAAAAGGTAAGAGGTGTATGAAAATAAATGTCACATGGCACATTTTTAAGTATCCAACAGCAAGGAACTTAAACAAGATTCATTCATTAGAATAGCCTTGTTGGTCTTTGGTACTAGCATGGAACGATTCCCAGGAGTAAGTGCAAAGCAAGATGCAGAATACTGTGTATGATGTACTTATGTTCTATAAAGTTGAGCAGAAGTCCCTAACCTATGTGTAATTAATTGTATATACACACAGCATCACTACATAATAAACGGCTAACATTGGCTGCATGCAGAGGGAAAGCCTGTAGTTAGAAAACAGAGGTAGGAGGATTCTCTTCCTTGCATATCACTTGTGTTTTAAATTATATGCCATGTCCAAATATTATCTATTTGAGAAAGAAAAAATAATTTCTTCTTCTGATAGTCTCTTTGTTGTATGTCTAGCATAATTTTCTCAGTTCATACCTTCTTTCCCATAATGATATTATTTTTCAAATTGATTCCACTTAGCAGTGGGTATCCATGCTAAACTATATCCATATACAAAAGCCTTCAGAAGACCATTAAAATGAAAATGCTTATAGATTCCAACTATTTTATGGAAAGAAACATGAGTTCTAAAAGTACTTTCAAAACGGACTACAGTAGAAACCCAGTGTTCTGGTTAATATTTTTTTTCTCCACAGAAAAATCTTAACTTTTAGAGCTTGAGGCAGTGTATCATCCTAATATTCTAATTAAGTGCCATATTTCTAATTAAGTATTAGAAACAATACTTTAAAAATAGATTAAGATATATAGGTGTTCAGAAAATATTTTATGCAAACTCCTTTTGCAAGAAGGAAAGTAGGCCAATATTAAAACAAATACATTTCCTACCTTTAAAAATCTTTCATTGGTCAATAATGCAATTTGCTTCTCTGATGCTTGATTTTCCACATACCTAATTTTTACAATTCCAAAAACACAAGAAGAGAAAATTAAACATTCTCATTATCTAAATTGCATGTGTGTGTGTGTGGGGGGAGACTGCTCTTTCTAAATTGGTGGGAACATTCTTTAATTTCTTCTCAAAATTAAATTCAAGGTGCTATATCTTGATTCAAGGGTAATTTTTAACGCATTAAATCAGTTGCAACTCAAATTCTCGAGGTGTAAGTGTAAATAAATACTATAAACCAAACAGGAAATAATACTCCTGAAAACTAATTGTGGAAAACTCACAAATTATGTATCTTTGTAAAAAGCATATATACATACTAAACCCAATTTCCAAATCTCACAAAGAAATCCCACAATTAAAAACAGGAAGGCTTTGTTTTGCTCTAAACAATATATTTTGTTTATTTTTCCTTTTCCCATCACAAAAGTAACTGGATTAAAATCCTCTGGTTTCCCCTAAAGCCTATAAAAAATGTGTAAAATATCTACTTTTTACCTCCTAAAGGATGGAAGTCGTCGGATATTTTCACACTGATCATCTGATAAAAAGTTTATTCGTCTTTTGGCTTCTGGGAGGCTACAGCACAAAACACTGAGGGGCTGGGAATAGAAATGCTCTAATAAAGAAAGCTGAAAGAAACAGGAAATGAAAGATATTTATTATATTTTGGCAGTGAATCTTTTGGCTACGATTGTTCAATTTTTAGGTCTTCTTTTTTAAAGAACAAAAGGTTTGCTATTGCTAATATATTTAATGAAAATACAGTGATATTGCAAACACTTCAGAAGCAACCATATATATGCCTTTAGTATATAGAGATTCCAATTTGTGGGCAGGGTCAGAAAATATGAGAGGAAGTAAAAAAATAATGCTAAGGAGAGTCCCAGTTCACACATGCATGGGTGTGTTCCAAGTACAATGTGTCTAAAGACGTGTCTGTGATGAGTGGATGGCTGCAGGTAATATACTAATATACTAGGGTGCCTTTAAAACCAAGGTCCATCAAAACAGTGGCTCACAAAGCTTCAGGGCAAGTTCAGTTAAAGGCAGAAAAATCAGCTCACAAAGTTAGAGCAACTGTTTCCTGGGACTTCAAGGGGCTAATCTTGCTAGATTTTCTGCAATGATGTAGGATAATCACAGGGACTTCTAAAGAAGTTTCAAGAAAAACTGCCCCGGTGAGAAAAATAACAGAAGAACTGTGCCCCCATTTTTTTTATCATAACAATGCACCTGCTCAATCTTCAAGGGTAGTCAAAGGCTGTCCTGTTAAGAATTGTATAGAGAAACCTCATCCCATTTACCTTACAATCTTGATCTTGCCCCTTCAGACTTTCTATTCTCAAAACAAAACCAAAAAAAACCTTTCTAAAGTACACTGTTTGAGTACTATCAGGATACCAAAACTGCTGTTTTGTGCTAGTGTAAACAAAGAGTGCAGAATTCTTTGGGGGAAGGGTTAAAGAGACAGAAACACCACCTTCAGAAGTGTATACACGTAAATGTGCCAAGAAATAATTTTTATAATTTTTGTTTAAAAAATGTTTTGACTTAGTTTTGTATAAAATAAACATTCATAAGCAGAACTATTCATTATCTGTAAAAGAAATAAAGTCGTTCAAAATGTGGTGCCACCTAAAGGTTCAATAGATACCCAAATACATAGAAAAAATATATAAATCTACTATTGGAACAAAACTGGTCTTTTAAAATAGATAAAAATATCGTAATGGCATATGAACAAAAATAAATGAAGAAAATGTTTTACATCAAAAGACAGCAATGTATCAAGTAGATAAACATATTCTAGTAACTTGAATGTAAGAGACAATATTATACAACATGTAAGATAGCTCATAACATAATCCAAATGTTACTCTCTAAACAACCTTCTCACGATCCATTTGGTATTCTATTTATCTTGATATGCGAAAGAATGTTTCATATACATAGCCAACATGTACATTCTGATAGTCACTGGAAAATGGTATTCTCGTCACAAATTAATAAACTGACAAAGGTAAATAAGAGCAAAAATGATTTTTAGATCTTTAAAGGATTACATATGTATAAAGAAAAATATACAACAGAAACCATATGTTGCCCGCCAAGAAGAAAATATTCAGTACAAGGAGGCTTCAAAAGGCTCAGGGAAATGGAATTGAAAGGTAATGGAGTTTTCCATGAATTTTCTTTCTCAAGTCCCCCTTTACAGCAGGCCCTTTACAGCAAAAGTTTGCTGACTTTTAATACACAGCATTTTCTAGGTAAAAAGTGTATACTCCTTCATCAGATCCTCAAAGAGGTCCCCCTCTCCCAACTCCCAAAATGTTTACGAATCACTGGAATGGACGGACTTAGGTTTCCTACTGCTACTATCCTAATAAATATGTTTCCTATACTTTGCTGCAAAGTAACCTGACAGTGATACAACCTAGAACGACAGCAATTATTAAAAAGGCCTTAACAGT